TGTAATATATATGCAAACACATGCATGTTTATGTATACGGTATTTCTTGAAGAATTAACAAGAAAACGTTAATAGTGTTTGCCTCTGGACGTTGAGACAGTAGTTGTATTCATACCTATCTTTCCTATTAGATGCTGTATTAGGTATCATAATCTGGAAGTAAGAACTATATTTTATTAATATCGGGTTTTTCACAATATTTAACACAGTGCTTTACAAAGAGGTGTCCAGTAGATGTTGTCAAATTTCATATGTAGGCGTCTCAAAAAATTGAAATGACGAGATTTACAGTTGGGAAACACACTAGGAAATAAATTTGGTTGATGCAACCAGAAAATTTAGATTTTTACAGTTTTCCAGTAACTGTCCACAGTATTTTGAGCCTGCCTATACTTGGCCTCACTCTCAGTTCTAGCCACTGTCTTGGGTCATCACGTTGAGAAGGGTCATTGATTTTAGTCATCTTCATGTAAGTTCAGGTTCATCATGATAGAACTCCTCGGTGGTGTTATTAGAAAGTATCAAAGGAGATGTGGTAAGAATACAACTTTTTTTTAATGTTTTTTCTTTTTAAATTTATTTCTGAGAGAAAGAGAGAGAGGCAGCATGAGCAGGGGAGGGTCAGAGAGAGAGGGAGACACAGAATCTGAAATAGGCTCCAGGCTCTGAGCTAGCTGTCAGCACAGAGCCCGATGCAAGGCTCAAACCCACGAACCATGAGATCATGACCTGAGCCGAAGTTGGACGCTCAACTGACTTAGCCACCCTGGCACCCGGAGAATATAACTTTTTTGCAAAACCAGGAACACTTGTAGAAATGTTTTAGTCCTTCGCTATTAAATTCATGGCTAACCTGTTTGGCAGTCTAGCCATATCTACAAATTGAGTTTTGATCTTTCTTCTGCAGTTGGGACTCCTGCATCTCCTATTCAGCAGGCTCATTTTTCTTCCTCACTCCACAATTGCTTCTTGTCCCTGATAAAAACAGGCAACATAAACATTTGGTGAGAAAATGGAGCTCTCTGGTCATGCATTCCATAGTCAATTCAAAATGGAAGTACCTTTTCACGTTTACCCAAATTTTGTAGAATCTGGTTGTAGCAGTTTATTTTCATTACAATAAGGGCGGCGGTCCTTTAACATTGGCCGTTTTTCCTATAGTAAATGCTCATAAGATCTTTACTATCTGTAAGTATATTCAAAAAGTTACATTTTAGCCACAAATACAATGGTCCAAAAGTAGATACAATATTGCCTCTTAAAAATTTAAGTGCTTTACTTAGCTTATTCATGTATGGAAGTAATGATTTCCAGAAATACTATATGTGAGAATTTTTTGTTTATTTTTCTAATAAAACAAGATGTAAATTGGCTGAGTTCTCAAGGTGTCCTTGTATATCTGTATACAGCATGAACTGGCCGCTGTTTTCTTATGTTTGTTGCCTGCATTAATTAATGCTTCTGGTTGCTATGGTGAATTACAGAGCACAGGAAGATGTGTACAAAGAATTGAATCTGCGGATTCCACTTAGCTTCAACCATCATATAAAAATGGTTTGTTGTCAATTTTACTGTTAGCCTCATCAGAGCATCTACTTTTAAAATTCACCAGGGAAAGGAATGAAAAGGAAAAATGTCAGGGATTTTTTTTTTTCCGTTGATGTTCCTCCCTAAACCAGTTTGAGTAAGTAGTAGGAGGCTCAGGAAAACATTTATTAATGTTTTCATAACCAAATGGGACATAGTCATCTTTGCGAAGTACACAATTAAGTCAAGCTGTAAGAGTCTATCCCTGTGTCAAAGTTTTGTCCTTATGTTATAACCTACACCCACAGGTACCGTCTGTGACGTTTCTTCCCTCTCCAGTAACACGAAGATACTCTGGCACCCTGAAATTGTCCGACTATGGGTAGAATTCTCAGGCTCTTCTAGGAGCCTGCTTGAGTTTATTCCTTCCCCGCTCTCGCCTTTCTTTCCCAAAAGAGACAGATGTACTCTCGAGGTAAAGAGAGGGCAGCTATAGAGAAGCAACATTTATTTTCCAGGATGATCCTCGTTAGTCTGCCCGGTAGCTTTTTAAATTGACTTATCAGATCAGAAGCTCAAAACAGAAGTATTCCTGTCTGGTTCTTCTCCCTGCGAGGGAGAAGCTTCCTTCCCTTCTTCTTAATGAGATAGTGTGTGCCATTCATGAGTATTTACTCAAGATAAACTGCCTAACAGGTGTCAGTCTAGAATTGTCCCTCAATGTAAAGAGGCTTACTTTACAGTAAAACTACTCATTTTTCTGAGAATGGAATTCCATTTCAGCTTTGAGGAATTTATTACTTCTCTGAACAGCGTAACGGCGTTCTCCCCCCCCCCGCCCCTGTTTTGTGCCTGGGCTGCCCCCAGATGGTTACAACATAGAACGAACAATTGATAGAATGGCTTCTGTCTCCTTGGCGGCATGTTCTTTTTTTTTCTTTTTAATATTTTTATTTATTTCTAGGAGAGAGAGAGAGAGAGCGTGAGCAGGGGAGGGTCAGAGAGAGAGGGAGACACAGACTCTTAAATAGGCTCCAGGCTCTGAGCTGGCAGTCAGCACAGAGCCCGACGCGGGGCTCAAACCCAAGAACCGAGAGATCATGACCTAAGCGAAAGTCGGACGCTTAACCGACTAAGCCACCCAGGCGCCCCCTTGGCGGCATATTCTTATGACGCTGGATTTTTTTTTTCCTTCATAGAACTAATTCTTCACATCCTTTAATGAATATTAAGCCAGTAATGACTGTATTTGAGAAGCCATGATTATCTCAGCTCATTGGTACTTCCAGAGTCAATATAGTGGGAAGAATTAAAAATTTATATCCTTTGAAGTTTGGTGATAAAAAGAAATTGTGTATATCCATGAGGGTAATGCTGTGAAAAAGGTTACAGAGACTCCTCTCTGTATCTAAAATTACAGCCAACTGTAGCTTAGTTGATCCCCTTAAGAAATCTGTTTGTCTGGCTCTTGATTTCGGTTCATGTCATGATCTCACCGTTCAGAGACTGAGCCCTGCATCAGGCTCTGCACTGACAGCATGGAGCCTGCTTGGGATTCTCTCTCTCTCTCTCTCTCTCTCTCTCCTGTCCCTCTCTGCCCCCCCCCCCCGCTCGTGCTCTCTCTTTGTCTCTCTCTCTCTCAAAATAAATGAATAAGCTTTTAAAAATAGTAATAAAATAAATGCATACTAGATCCAAGATAAGGGCAAGAAGCAGAACAGTGCACATAAAATGCTTTTATTGACGTGTGTATGTGCTATACATATATATACACATGTGCGTGTGTATGTGTATGTGTGAATATGTATGTATGTGTATATTTGCATACATACTGTAGATAATATCTATAAAAGAACACAGAAGATTCTAATAGTACCGTTTGCCTCTACACAGAAATTGAAGTGCAAGAGCAATGTAGCAGGGAGGAAATTCACTTTTTTTTAATAGTATATCTGTTTGTGTTTTATACTATATGCAAATATTTATCTAGTCTTAAGTAGCATATTTTAAAATAACAAAAATGATTATAGAATATATACTAGCAAGCAACTCCTACAGCACTGTAGTGCTGAGTACATTGTTTCAGGTAAATAGACTTAAATGAAGCTTATTTTGTCTTAAAAAGTAAGTTTAGTATTGAAAGGCATGATTTCAAGTTCCAGGTTCACACAGAAATATGATTGACTCCCTACCCAATGAGTTGCAAAATAACCACCTTTGCATCATTGGGAGCCTCTTAGTGGATATCTCTGCAATTCAGAGATTATCAGAACATTTTTATTTATGGTCATAATATCTGATTCTGTTTCCATGAAGTACCATGAGAATAAATAATCTCTCAGTTCCTTCACGGTGTTTTAGAAAGAGATGAACAGAAAGGAAATGTAGGGTTTTTTGTTTTTTTTTCCAGGATTTCTACCTAAGCACATATGATTACAGATGTTTCTATTTAATTTTGTGCTATAACCTCCAAAATGGATGCTTCTGTTTGATGTAGTTTTAAATAATGCGCAGTAAGTCGTTTAATAAAATTACTCAAGATTAAGTAATTCTATCTTCTGTTGATGGCATGAGAAAAAACAAGGCAAACTTTAACAGTTTTGAAATGCTATGGTCTCCTTGTGAATATCTACAGAAGGGGCCAATAGGAGGTCCTTACTTTTTTCTCCCCCCTTCCTCGGGGTCCACTTACTTTTGTTACAAGGCCATTTTGATAAAGATTGGAACACAGTAAAACTGCACTGCGCTACCCAAATGAGGCAAGTGACTGAGGCAAGTGTCAGTATCTCCAGTATCAAAGCCATTCTCCAAGAGTTTTTCATTTGTTTGTTTTCATGGTTTTTTTTTTTTTTCTTGGTCTATCAAAGGATTTGAGAACAAAGATGGTAAGACACTTCTCCTAGAAGTGTCATTATTTATATGTCCCATTCTTGAGTATTTACACTCAAAATACTAAGTGTTTCTAGTTTCCATCTTATGGGCACATCCTAATATACCGGCACTCTCCAAAATACTTTGTGGTCTTTGGACAGTGGCCATTGTAATGACATTGTACTAAGTATTTGTCAAAAAGCTTATACACGAAAGGAGTTGTGTAGCACAAGCATAAATTACTGCTCTATTGATACCATGTCACAGTGAAGCACTCTGCAGCCTCTTGAATATAAAAGAATATTTCTACATTTGGTTCTAGCAAACACTATTGTGCTATTCTGAAATCCACGGCACAGAAATTATAAGACATCCGCTCATAAACAGAAAGCAAATCACCATTCAGCATTTCCTGCTCTGTTTCCTGCCAATTTCAGATAATTAAAACTTTTTTTAAGCCTTTTATTCTATTCTGCTTTCCTTCTGCTTCTTCCAACCAAAAATGAAAGATTTAGAAATTAAAACTGCACGTATAATGGTGGCAACAAACCTTTGCCTTTTCCGCTCTTATCCTGTGATGTTAACTTTCTTCATTACCGCAGACCTCAGGACATCGTTGTGTTTATAATTGGAGGAGCCACCTATGAAGAGGCCCTAACAGTTTATAACCTGAACCGTACTACTCCTGGAGTGAGGATCGTCCTGGGAGGGACCACAGTGCATAACACTAAAAGGTAAGGGAGAACATTCCGTCCTACAACTCGGTTCCCCTTCCTAGAGAATAAGGCTTAAGTTCCCTTTATGCAGGAAAGGTAAGGTCAGTGTTGCATAAACAGCTGGAGGCCAAAAGGCACCAATTCACAGAGCCACTTAGACATTGTGTGAGATGAAGGAGCTATACTCCTTTAGGTTCATAAATCACTTAATTAGTTCAAAAGACCTGGTGTATAAGGACCAGCGTGTGCTGTTAACAATTTATGTTTTTTATGTTCAAAAAAGGAGAACTCTTAATAGCCACAGACCGACTGGCACTTTGAAAATACTAAAGGGTAATGGTATTGACTTCCATGCATTTTTCTGTTTTGTTGATTAATTACATTTATTCCGCAAGTACTAAGAATACAAAGATAAATAAGATAAAGATCCTACCTCAGGGAAGTCACTGTCTCGTAGGAAAGCTAGAACATGAAACATAACAAGATAAGGGCCTGGAGAGACGGACTAAAGAGCCATGGGTTCTCAGTGTGACTGAGAAAAAGAAGCGAATATTTCATGGAGAAGGTAGTGCGTAAGCTGAGCCATGGATAGAAAATGGACATGAGGGGGAAGAACACATTCTAGGCAGAGTTGACCACGGGAACAAGTTATAGGTGCTGTAGGCAACATGGACAGGAAAAGACCAGCACGTAGTCCACCAGCTGGAATGTGCACAGTGAGAAGAACGTTGACTGAATGCCATCATTGTGAAAGGCCTTGAATTCCAGGCTGAGGAATTTTTACTTTCTTGTGTAGAAACTGAAGAATCGTTGCAAGTATTTAAGCAGTAAAAATTACAAGAGGGTCACAGTGTTTTAGGAAAATTAATTTGGAAACTAAGGGTCCGGGGTGGGGGGGAGCTCCTGGGGGCCTCAGTCAGGTAAGCCTCCTACTCTCGATTGTGGCGCAGGTCATGATCTCATGGGTTTGGAGATGAAGCCCTACCTACCCTGGGCTCGTGCTAACAGGCAGAGCCTGCTTGGGATTCTCTCTCTCTCCTCTCTCTCTGCCCCTTCTCCCACTCGTGCACTCTCTCTCTCTTTCTCTCTCTCTCAAATAAATAAACCTAAAAAAAAAAAAACAAAAAACTGAGAGAAGAAAACATAGGAGGAGGAGATGGAGAACTATGGCCTGATAGTGGAAGTCAACGGTCAGGGACCCCGAGAGATCCATGCTGAGCCCTGAGCGCATCAATACACTGGGCGCCACTTGGAGGTGTTTGTGTACTTCTTCTGTTTGTATTATTATTTGGCCTTTTAATGTAACTTTTCCCCTTTATCATGGAAGTAATACACATTTATTCTTAAATTCTTTTAATTCAGAGAATATAAAGAGAAAAAAGAAAAGCTTCCACAGTCTAACCATTGTTACAGTTTGATCTCTTCAGACCGTTTTTTTTCTGAAATAAGTTTATTTATTTATTTATGTTTTAATGTTTTTTAATTTTTTTTTTTTTTTTTTTTTTTGAGCGTCAGCGACAGCACGAGCAGGGGAGGGTCAGAGAGGGAGGGAGACACAGAATCTGAAGCAGGCTCCAAGCTCTGAGCTGGCTGTCAGCACAGAGCCCGATGTAGGGCTTGAACCCACGAACCGTGAGATCATGACCTGAGCTGAAGTCAGACGCTTAACCAACTGAGCCATCCAGGTGCCCCCATTTATTTTAAGAGAGAGAGAGAGAGAGAGAAAGCATGAGTGGGGGAAGGGCAGATGGAGAGAATCCCGATGCAGGGCTTAAACTCACGAGATCTTAACTTGAGCTGAAACCAAGAGTCGGATGCCCCAGGGGCCCCTTTATTTTTTTTTTTAAGTTTATTTATTTGCCCAGTTCATATTGTTTGTCCATTTTATAATTGGGTTATTTTTCCCAACGATTTTTATTAATTATATGTGTATAATTAAGGATATTGACCATTTGTTATATATTTTGTTGATCTGTTTTGTAGTATTTACAGTATTTTGTGTAACAGCTTTTATTATATTTTATTTTTACTTTTATGTGCTGAAAACTACCAGTGATCTCTGCCTTTGATGCCACTCTTAGTTCCTTCCCAGGCAAAATTATATAAATACTAGCCTCTGTTTTTCCATTTTTTGGGGTTGCATTTAAAGTTACAGCTTTATAATCTGTCAAAATTTTATTTTGTAGTAAATTGTGTGGTAGTTTCCTTTTATAATTATAGAAACATATACTCACATACAGAGAAGTGTGTGAATGGTAAGCAGACAGTTCAGTGAAATATGACAAAGTGTGCAACCACCACCCAAACCAAGTCATAAATGTCACCAGTCCCCCCAGAAGGCTCCCTTTGTCTCATGTCCCCTCCTTGTCACAACTCCCACAAAGTAATCTCTATTATGACTTCTGTCACTATAGATTAGTTTTACCTGCCCTTAAAAGATACTTGTTGAATGAATGAAGAAACAGGTTAAAAGTAATCTGTGTCCAGGGTGCTTGGGTGGCTCAGTTGGTTGAGTGTCCGACTTTGGCTCAGGTCATGATCTTGTGGTTTATGAGTTCAAGCCCCACGTCAGGCTCTGTGCTGACACCTCAGACCCTGGGGCCTGCTTCAGATTCTGTGTCTCCCTCTCTCTGGCTTGCGCTCACTCGCACTCTTTCTCTCTCTCTTTCAAATATAAGTAAACGTTATAAAAAAATTTTTTTAAGTAATCTGTGTCTGCCTTTCTTACAAATAATACAAGGATCTTGCAATGATCGAGTGAAGGATCTCTGATCAGCTTCCTCCCCGCCGAGAAGCTATCATTGTCCAGCATTTTGGTTCCATCCTGTTTTTATAATTCCCAAATTAATCATCATTATTATTTTCAGTTGTCATTATGTATTTGCTTCCCCCCTCCCAGCTTTTCACCCTGCTCCTTCTTTCTAATCCAATTTTCTTCTTATTAAAAACATCCTTGGGGCACCTGGTTGGCTCAGTCAGTTGAGCGTCCAACTTTGGCTCAGGTCATGAACCGTGGATTTGAGCCCCGCTTCTGGCTCTGTGCTGACAGCTCAGAGCCTGGAGCCTGATTCAGACTTTGTCTCCCCTGCTTTCTCTCTCTCTCCCTCTCTCTCCCTCTCCCCAATATAAAATTAAAAACATTTAAAAAATCCTTTAGTAGTTCTTTCAGCTACTAGTCAACTTGATTTTTTTTATAAAAATATCTTACTTTATTAAGTTTAGAAATCCAGCTTGATAAATTATTCTCAGAACTTAAAAGTCAGAAAATATGAATATTATTTTTAATTGTTGCTGCTTTCAGCATAATTATTAACTTTAATTGTATAACTTTATATTGTATATTGTATAACAATATAACTTTAATTGTAAGTCTGCTTTCAGTATAATTATTTTTTGGGTTGTAGGCAATATATTCTTCTCTGATTCTTCTTAAGATTATCTTTTTGTTTTTGATGTTCTTGTTTCAGTGTCATGTATCTAAATGTGGATTTATACATATTTTCCTTGGTATGAAAATTCATGTTTGACAGTATTACTGGAAGATTTCCAGTCATTATTTCTCTTAACATTGCTGCTTTTCCGTTTCCTCCGTTCCATCCTTCTGGAACTCCTACGAGATACCTTGTGTCTCTCAACTTCTCATTGATATTATCAATCTGTATCTCTCTGCACTGCCTTCTGTGTAATTTTTTCAGATGAGTATTCCAGTTCAATAATTCTCTCTTCATCTGTGTCTAATCTGTGTTTAATTTGTCCATTCAGGTTTTAACTTCAGAGGTTCTATTTTTATGCTTGTAAGTTCTTTTTGCTTCTTTTTCAAATTTTCTTGATGTTTTTATTCATTTCCTCTTTCCTTATATTTTCAAATCCCTCATTTTTCTTTAATCATATTAATCCTATACCCTAAAATACTTCCTAGTTCCTGAGAAAATAATCTTTTATGTAAAAATAAGAAAGTGAGGCATTTTTGCAAAAGCTTTAGATTACATTCTTCCAAGTAGCCCGATTTGACCTAACAGGATGCTATGTTTGAGCTGATAACCTCAGCAATAGAAGGTTCATTAAATCTTGAAAAAGATGTTTGCTGGCCCGAATCAATGAAACGTTTTAAGAATGAGGGAGTTACTTTGGTAACTACCAACCTGGAAAAAGAAATTAGTTACTGTTTGCTATAATATAAAAATGATCCCAAATCAGGTATTTATCATTTTTTTTATAAATATATAACCTCTAGTTAATAGGTAAATAGTGAAATTTATCATTATCAGTAAAAAGATAGTGGAATTTGTATTTCAGAGATCAGTTATCAAAAGGCTTAAATAATCAAAAGCAATTTAGGTTCAGCTTTTTTTTTTTTAGTATTTTTATTTATTTCTAGGAGAGAGAGAGAGAGAGACAGCGTGAGCAGAGGAGGGTCAGAGAGAGAGGGAGATACAGACTCTGAAATAAGCTCCAGGCTCTGAGCTGGCAGTCAGCACAGAGCCCGACGCGGGACTCGAACCCACGAACCACGAGATCATGACCTAAGCAAAAGTCAGACGCTTAACCAACTAAGCCACCCAGGCGCCCCTAAGTTCAGCTTTTATTGGAAAGGTTCCATTTTCATGATGAATGTGGGCTATTTTGGGTGTTGCTAAGCAAGTTGCGGAAGTCCTCTCTTAAGACTCTCAGTAAGTGGAAATTTAATATTTTTAAAAATTTAATATTTATATTTAGTATTTTTATATTTAAAACTTAACATTTTTAAAATCAGTATCATAACTGGATATAGTAGGGCTGCTGTGAGCTAGCAATGAAATCTGATTTGGGGGAGAGTAAGTTTAATAGTTTGTTTCTGTAAATTGTTGGGGTTTAATTTTTATGCAAGGGGTTTCGTATACAATTCCCTATGTAATATGTGGGTTATTTCGTAAGGAAGAACCCAAAGAAATAAGTGGCACACAGCATTGACCCCAAGAGTTCTACAGCACAGAAGTATTATTATAGATTGTGGTGATCAGGAAACAGTGTACTTTTAT